TACCTTTTGTATTTTTGCTGTAGTATTACTAAATTTTGTTTCCATCTTGAAATTCATGTTTTTTCAACATACGGTTTGGGTATAGTATTAACAAAACCCATACAGTTTTGAATATTCACGTTGTAGTGATGACTGATTATTAAACACAAATTTGATTTATTTTAAATTTAGTAAAACTTAGAAATAAGTAAAACGTGAAAAAAAATTGAATGGATTCTTACTGTTCGTTTACTTTTTGAAGTAGTTGCATACATCACTCGTGTCAACACATTTTAGTTCTTGTGCTGAATAAAAAACATGGGATTTTTATTTTTCATATTGGCAGACACTCACCAATTAGAAAATTGGCGCAATTCTAAGTTTTATCACATTTCTTCCCAGTTAGTATCATTCTGTCTAAAGTCAACGGAAATAAATGATTGATATCGGGCATTAACAATTCAACTACACATAAACGTGAAACTTTCTAATTATTTGTTGCAAATGGATTATTTTCTTTACTGAACATTTGCCACTTAAGCTAACCTATTAATGTCTTACCCTTTAAGAAAGGTGTAAAATTAAAATATATACGTTATATGGCCTGCTCATACAGTTTAAGTGTGAGACTAATGCAGAAAAAAAGAGATTCTTGGTTTGGTTTATTTTGTTTTACGGCATATCAACCTCAATTGGTCATTTAATGGCGACACCTTTTTTCCTGGTAATATTCTTGTTTTGTCAAAAATCTATTTCTGGTAGTAATTTTTACAAAGTATTTCTGGTATTAAAACCTTTTTTACACTTTCAAAATGCTTTTTACATCATTTTCGGGGTTAATTATTTTCCCATAGCTGGGACCCTAACAGGTGCTACCACCCAGGATCAGGGCGGACCTGGGAACACCAGAAATTAAGAGGTGGTCCCACGCTCTACGAAGCCTCTTGATCTGAGGCCTTACTGCTGGTCGTATTTTATCGTCATACCCAGGACGGAGAAAAGAAGAGAAATAGAATCAGGAAATAGAGAAAATTACTGACTTTTTTTGACAAACCCGAAAGCTCTTTTCTTCCAGAGAAGTCACATGTGTTTTTTCCAGTCGTCGGCTTAATCTGCTATCATGAGTGGACACCTATCAAAATAACTGAATTTAGTTCTTAGTTAATTCAAATCCGTTCAGTAAAGTGGGGGCGGGCAAATGTCCCCCTTACAGTCAATGTCGGATTTGTTTCTCATACTTCACCTAAAAAAAAGTTAAAACAAATACTCAAAGTGATAAAAGTAAAATCTTTTACCTTAAAAGAAGTTCGTAGCCAACTGAGGCCGTTCAATTAATGTGTCTGCAAAAATAAAGGCAATTCAAAGAAATACGAAAAAAATATTTTGGCTTAAAATTAGAATCCGCTTTAAATTAGCGACTAAAATAAGCAAAGGGATGTAAATTGACAAAACAAGGATCCGTCTGCGGAAGATATGCTGGGAAGGAGAAAGAGGAGGAGTTACTCGAGAGAGAAAAAGTGAAAATAGGAAGACATGAAAAAGGAAAGTGAACAGAAATGGAATGTAACTGTTGTGCTGAGAGGAAATAAATAATGAAATTAAAAGAAGAAAGAATTGAAATTCTTGAAAAACGAAAATATAACATGAAATGAAGAATGAAAGACAAAGAGAAATATAGGGGGAAAAGATTGAATGGATAAAAACGGAGAGGAAAAAGAAGAATTTGCAATTTATTAGAAAAAGCGGATTTGAAATTTTGAAAATTTATGGCTGAAAAACAAAACAGAAATAAAGAGAAATAAGATACGAATAACTACTTTCCAAATAGTTGGTCTCGAAAATGTGACGTGTAAAATATGATGGGTAAGTGATTTGCTAAATTGCCCATTCAATTTTTTCTTCTCCATTACACATTATAGCATACCAGTAAGAAGATATATAGTCATAAAATATTGAGAATTTACAAAGAATAGACGCTAGATTCATGACATTTGTATTTTGGCGACGTGATGAACTTACGCTAGAATTCGTAATTGTTTCGACAGTTCAGATGGCCATTTTTAAAAGCGTTGCACAATTTGGTACCTCAGGTTTTGACGAAGGCAGGCCTGAGAACAAGGATGAAATGTTGAATGCATTCGAATAAAAAAAATTCAGCAGATTCAATGAAAGAGAGACGAAAAATATTGTGAAATAATGAAAAGTTATCATTCCGAGAAAAATAGGAAAATAATGAGAAGATAACCTATAAATGACGAAGGAGAGCAACTGCAAGAGAGAGAGACAAATATAACAGAATAAATAAGAAAGAAAATGTATTGCAGACAGAAAGATTAAAATGAATACAGGAAGAAAGCAGCAATTATGAATGAGGCACGAGAAATAACAATGGTAATATAAAAGCCGTGCTGCTCAAAGATTCTGTGAAAAACAGATTCTCAAATGAACAGTGTTGAAATTAAGGAAGACAAATTTTAAACGGAACATGAAAATAAAGGAAAAATAAAAATTGTTAAAATGAATATCAAACAAAATGATAAAAATGAAAAATCAAATCAAGAAAAAAAAAAGATAAAACAGGAATGTTTCAAAGGAAATTAAAGAACAGGATCAAAAGAAATTTGAACAAAACAAGGAAAAACGAATGAAAGAAAATGATCGAAATAAAGAACAAGGCAAGACGAAAGAAAATGGAAGAAAACACGAAGCAGAGCGAATGAGAAAAATGGAAGGAAAACAGAAAATTCAATAAAACAAAAATCAACATAGGAAATTTAAGAACAAAGAAAGGAAAACTAACGAAGACTAAAAGAGGAGTTAGAATTATAAAAATGAGTAAATAATTTTGTGAGAAAAGGTTGGAAAGAAAGAAAGAAAGAAATATGTTAAAAAAATAATGTGCACTAAATGAGAAATGAAAAAGAAGGACGAAAAGATTAAGGAAAGATAATTACAAAAAAAGAGGGAAAAAATTTAGATAGAAAGAAACATCAGAAAATAGAAAGTAGTGTAAAAAATCATTACAAAGACGGAAGCAGAAGTTTGAGGGAATGGAGTTAAAGTAAAAAAAAAAAAAATACTCCAAGAAAAACATCTCATTAAAATGGGTTTAAGGCAAACACGATCCTCAAGAAGTAGAACAAAAAAACTTGAAAAACATGAACGAGTAAAATGCTTTCAATGTAGACAAACGACATACATCCCAACCACGTCTACACTTCTAAGGTAAATGGTAATGTGCACAGAGGAGGGAAAACCAGGTCCCAGAAATTAATAGAAATAATCACGGATGAAACTTATAGAAATAAAAATCCACACATACCAACGCAGGGACAAGCAACACACAAACACACACACACACACACACACACACACACACGTATATAATATTTTATTTAAATTTCTCGAGGTTTTTCCAATGTATTCCTTGTGACAATTATTGTGGCATCTGTACATTATGTCACAGATTTTACTAACATATATATATATACATACATATATATATATATATATATATATATATATATATATATATATATATATATATATATATATATATATATATATATATTGTATTTAGGCATCATTTTTCATTCATACATGTTTCATTAAATAATATAGAAAAGTGTTGTCTATTTATTTTATGTAAATTATTTTCATAATGTGTGATAAGAATAATAAAATTATCATTAAGCGAAGAAACAAAATCACAATATTGATCTATAATTTTTAATCCAGTCTAAGCTTTCGGCTTACATATGTCATTATCGAAGATGTCAATTACTGTACAATATATGAAGCAATATAGAAACAAGACAGTGATGATAGTCTGTTATTTTTTACATGGGTGATTTCCAAGCAACGATAAACACGTGCTTCAAGGATTTTTAGTTTTTGTCTATTGTTTTCATGTTTAAGTATAATTGTGTTTTCAACAAAGGTTTTACGGAATAATATTGCATCCAGGCATGTTATTTTAAATGCCTAACAATGTTAGAGTTTTCATTCAAATCTAGTGTCAAGCGTCTTGAAAAGCAGAGTTTGTGGTGTGACCAAATCTGATAGATCTTCATATGTCAAGAAACCGACGTGAAATTATATATATATATATATATATATATATATATATATATATATATATATATATATATATATATATATATATATATATATATATATATATATATATATATATATATATATATATATATATATATATATATATATATATATAATATATATATATATATTATATAACGTTCGCATTCTAACCATGAGATGTGGTTTTCGAATCTCAGCATGGTTGATTTCCCTGATGTTATTGGTCAGGAAGTGCCACCATTGGAAAGTGCCTGAAAACCATACAACGGGTTGGCCCAAGGCTTGGGAGTGAAATTGGGTAGATAGCACCCTTGCGGTTTGTAGGACAAAGTCAGTAATCATCGTGGCCGAGTATAACAAAGAGATGGGCTCTCTCAGTGTTGAATAAACACAAATGCGCCTGAGCAAGTGAATGCAAGTGGGAGGTGGCTAGCCGTCTGTCAGACGCGTATCCTCGTATACGAGTAATCTGCTCCTAAGCGTTTCTTTCTCTCTCTTTTCTCGGTATGTTAGGTTATATACAGAGACTATATCAGGATAAAGTTTTACGATTGAACAAGTTGTCCGTTTGTTCCACTAACTTATTTTTTTGTTTTTTCTTCACACACACAAAACACACACACACACACATACATACATATATATATATATATATATATATATATATATATATATATATATATATATGAAGGAAATATAGATTTAAAATTATACTATATTTATAGGATAAAATGTAACATCAGAGATGTAAATATAAATATATAATATAACATTGAAGTCATCACTCAGAGGCGACTGGCTGTTTTATTTTTTTCCGTCAAAATAGATAGATAGATAGATAGATAGATAGAAATGTGAGTGTAGTGTTTACTTGTCTTTCACACATCCATGTGATCTTAAAGCTGCAAAGTAAAAGCGACATGATACACCTTTCCCATTTAAATATCTCAAAATACAGGGCTTCTGACATAGCCAAATGCAAATTCATTCAACCCAGGGAAGAAACGGTAATCCTAGAGAATAGAATCTTTGGAGGGCTAAACATAAGAGTGATGTCTAAAAGTGCTCGACCTAGAAAAAATAACAGCTACGAAATGTAGGCGTTAAGAAAAAAAAATCACTGCTAAAATTACGTCCCAGATTTTAGCTCCGAGTAAGAAGACAAAGTAAATGGAGAATACGCGGTTTCTTTTTATAATTCGTGGAAGAAAGAAATTGAATCCTGTTTACAGATTTTGTACCGAGATAACCAAACACTAGGACACCTCTACAGTGGCATATATATATATATATATATATATATATATATATATATATATATATATATATATATATATATATATATATACTAGCTGAACTATTCATCTAAGTTTGGAATTTTTGGGAAATCTTTTTATTCTCTTTCGCTCCAAGCAAGTCATTAACACCACTAAGACACAAGGGTTTACAAGGTGTGGAACACGAATTGGAACAGAAATATTAGTAATGAGTGGGAAGAGAAATGTATAATCAGGGGGACAATAGATATCGGTTGACGTTTCAAGAAAAAAAGACAAATATATATTTATAATACCATTAAAATCGTTTGCCTGATTAACGAATGGAAATCAGTTATAATTCCAGTAAATAGAAATATAATTGTCTCCCTGATAGGAAAAACATCAAACACATTTATTCATGTCGCCAATATTGATAAAGAAAAACTGTAAAATCCAAACATTTCCAAATGATGATACTTACGAAACTCGCCATATTTTCTGGTACAATTAAAATACTCAAATAAGTATTATTTTAATGCTAATTGAAAATATTTATCTTAATATTATTGTGTTTGTACATCTGAAGTTTAAATAGTAGGTTGATCTTGATGAAAATTTAATCTATGGTAGTAATTTAAGTATTATTGGTCGCTTGAATTTGCTTCGCGGTATATCAATCTCTATTTGTTATTTAAGGCTGGAATTTAAGTATTTTGATCACGATTAAATATATTTTGAAGATAATCGTATGACTTCAAATACAGAGAAAATATTCTTGGTATTTCGCTATAAATATCTATTGGTGGTAATGTTTATATAAATTTGTGTTGATGGTAATGTACAATAAAATGAATTTTTATACTTTCATAATGTTTTGATCATGTTCAGGGGTTCACCAATTAACCATAGCTAAGACCTTAAACTATGGACAAAATAAATGAAGAAATGATTCTATGCCCCTTAAAATTTTCAATCTCATTAGGTATAATGAGTTTGCATTAAACTCGTGTTAACTTAAGATATTCCACATTTTCATCTTGTGAATATTTTTACGTTCGTATCAATTTTGTGTATTTATTCTGTGATTCAATTACTTCTTGACAAGAATATCAATTGATCTTTCCTCTACAACATTTTCCTTCAATGTATCTGGTTAGTTTTAAATTTTCTCAACCTTTATTCCTCATTATATGTAGCTTATTAAATAGATATATCTGCATCAAAATCAAGTACTATCCATGAGAATCGTTATTTCTTAATTGCGTGGCGTATCATGCTGGCGTATTGTTCATTCATCCGAATATATTTCATTTAATATCACTCTGAAGAAATCCGGCTACTTAAAATATTATGTTTATCACTTGCTAAGATTATAAATCCGTTTAATTGCAATATCAGCAAAAGAGAATATTGTCTTTTATTTTCTTGAGATCACTGACCACTGCGAGAAACACATAACACTATCGGCAATAAAGAAGAATTTTATATGAAAAAAAACTTGTATTCCCATATGGCGATAGTTGAAGAATGATTATATTTCAAGGGTGAATTTATTAAAGAATGTGCCGTTTCGATTAAACTCTTGATGATTAGGAGAGAACAGAAAAACTTTATATGTCTACTTATGTCCGTTTCTTCACACACACGTATTACACACACACACACACATATATATATATATATATATATATATATATATGTGTGTGTGTGTGTGTGTGTGTGTGTGTGTGTGTGTGTGTGTGTGTGTGTGTGTATGTATCTCTGTATCTGTGGATATTTATAATTTTGGGGCAGAGGTGGCCTTTTGTAAAGATAGAGGATAGCAGGAAGGGTCAGTATTATATATATATATATATATATATATATATATATATATATATATATATATATGTGTGTGTGTGTGTGTGTGTGTGTGTGTGTGTGTGTGTGTGTGGGTGAATTTTTACTAATTTCTCATCATGGTTGTCTTTTAAATGCAATTCATTTCTGGGTTGATTTTAAGATGTAATCTTATGATCCATATCAAAAGTGAATGAAATTAGCAACAAGGTTTTACAACAAGACCCCTTTGAAAATGACTAAAGAATTGGCTGAAAGCGCTGAGGACATTAGACATTCATATAATCAGTGAAAGAATATTCATTTTAGTGTTTTATTATTGGCATTAGAGTTGCAGTCTCTGAATGGAAAAGTGAATTTAAAACTTCGTGTATATTTTTGTGAACATATGTTATTTGCAATGATTAATATCTTATAGTAAATAATAAATGGATTATTTTGTATAATCTAATCGGTACAGGCTGTAAGTATCTAGCTATCTTTCTCTCTATCTCTCTATCTCTCTCTCTCTCTCTCTCTCTATATATATATATATATATATATATATATATATATATATGTGTGTGTGTGTGTGTGTGTGTCTATTTTATTCTGTTGGTGTCCATCCTTCTGCTCATATCTACTGTGTTTTGGTTTTTAATATTCCTCTTTACCTAAAATTCATGTAAACATCTACTTGCATCCCGTATAGCGAACACGTTACTATTATTATTATTTATTATTATTATTATTATTAATAATAATAATAATAATAATAATGAGATCACCTTTGCTGCGCAGGACCAACGCTTGCTAACTAGGAATTATCAAGCACATATACTAAAATATTGTGTCAGCCCAAAATGCAGAATCTGTGATAAATATCCAGAAACGATTGATCAACTTGTATCAGGTTGTACGGTGTTGGCACCCACTGAATATAAAACCCGACATGATAGAGTGGGCCAATATCTGCACTGGAAAATCTGCAACTTCTACGGGAAGGAAACTGAAAGAAACTGGTATGAACACCACCCAGACCCGGTTACGGAGATTGGACCTGTTACAATTCTATGGGATTATACAATACACACTGACAGAACAATCAAAAGCCAACCATTGATATTGTTATTAAAGACCACAAACAAAAACGGTGCCTCCTTATTGACATGGCAGTCCCTGCTGAATGCAATGTATCTTTGAAGATATTCAAAAAGTTGTAAAAATACAAGGACCTTGAAATAAAAATCTCGAAAATGTGGCATATGGGAACATCAACAATCCCTGTTGTAGTTGGAGCCCTAGGACTGGTTGGAAAAGATTGAAGTAGACTAATTGAAGGGATTTCTGGAAGTCCATGCCTCAAGGAGATACAAAAAATTGTTCTGACAAGTACAGCCCACACCTTACGAAGGGCTTTATCTATGAAATTTAATTTTTCTATTTATTTATTTTTTTTTTTTTTGTCAGTGGAAAGTGTCATGACGCCATCTCTAACCTTAGGTCCCTGGGCGGGACCCGGAAAGAAATGTGTAAACGCCAGAAATCAAAGAAAATTATAATAATAATAGTAAATCGAATAAAATTCCTTTGAATATTGAAGTTATATTTTGAGTCTGATGACTACTTGGTGTCCAAACGCTTAGAAATGATGATTTTAACGTCGTTGTTAATAATAGTATTAGTAACAAAAATAGCAGGAGGAACTCTGCCCCGTTGAACGTGATGGTTCACTATGGTATGGATATGCTCTGCTGTGCGGTGCGCGAATCACATGTCACGCATGGGTAAACACAAATTAACTATAATGCTGACACAACGGAAAATATTGCTAAACCGCATCAGTCATCACGCGAGCCAAGAATGACCATGATGCCCAGTGAGTAACCAGACATAGATCAAAAAGTCTGCAACTGGTACAAAATCTACCCAAAGAGAACTAGAGGAAAACCAAGCCGAGAACATTCCTCAAAGAAGCTCTCTGTATTTATTAAAAGAAAATCCCACAAAAAGAACAATGAATGATTCAGAAAAGAGTATATTGAAGTATTAATATCTTTTTACAAAGCAAAGTTAAATCCGACAACGACAAGAACGATCAAAGCCACTTATAATATCGGGTGAGAAAATCAACCCTCAAACAGACTAAACATTGATAACAAGTAATTAGCCAATGTCAGGCGTGACATCATCAGGAAAAATAGAATATCCAACATACAACACGAAAGCATCCGAGAAAACATCAACGTTAACATCGATAGGCAAAATGTCAACAACCGAGAGAAGACATACAGAGGAACAAATAGAAAGAAGTTGTAATATTCCCTTCTGATGGAGACAACCAAATTATCCAAATACAAGGACCTGGAGATCGAGATTAACATCATATGGGAATGAAGACTGAGACAATTACAATAGTAGTCGAAGCTCTGTGCCTCGTGAGAAAAGAAATGGACAATTTTACTAACATTATCTCAGTTAATATCAACATAAAAGTTGCCCAGAAAATTGCCCGTCTCGGAACATCCCATATACTAAGAAAAGTGCTATCGATTAAATGACAATTCTTGTATAGGACGTAATAGTTTGGACCCGACTCTACAAAGCAAGGAACATAACACAATATAAACAAATTTTAATAATAATAATATGTTTAATAACAATATAAATATAATTTTATAAAAACATATGTTGCGCATATGCATTACACCATTTGAATGTGAATCGTAAAAAATTCAAATGTGCAATACGATGGAACAATCAAATGAAGTGCAAAATGCCGCTGTATCTATTAAAAATCTTATTTAGTTAGGAATGCAACAATTGGATACATCAGGATATTTTCCTACTCCACTGTCTGCAAAAAGCAAAATACTGAAACTTGCTTATGTATAAAGAATTCTTTCTACTTGCCACCGCCCTTCAGAACATAGGTAATCATGGCTCTCCCCAACCTTCTCTCTCTTTTGGCTATTAGTAGATTTCCCTCTCTTTGCTAAGGCTCGTTGATCCTTGTTCCGCCATCCATTTACACAGGCTCCTTCATCTTTATATGTCTAAGGAATTTCAGCTGTCTCTTCTTGATGAAGTGATGCGATTATATTTAAGACTACTACGTTGCTTACTCTGTTCATGGAATTTTCAGTATCTTTCTGTCGAAGTATATTTCTGCTGCTCTTTGTTTCTTTGCTTATTCTTAATGAAATTGCCTAACGTTCTTTTTCATATAAAAGGATTGATACCACGTGGCAATCAAGCATTCTTTTCTTTGTTTCTAACATTTTCGCAATTGGTTTGACATTTGAAATGCCTCGTTTTGCTAGTTCAATGTGTACTTCAGATCTCGGTGTCATATTTTCTATCCTCTGTTAAAACGCTACCCAGATATTTGAAATTCTGCACCTGCTTATTTTTTTTTTATCTCCAGTTCGTAGCTAGTATCTTGGGTTTTATACTCTTACTGATTACCGTACATTCTATCTTCTTGAGTTGAGGATTAGTCCATTTAGTGTAACGTTATTCTACCATCTTCTCCAGATATTTTTCTGTAGTTTTTTTTCAGAGACGGCCATTAATACAGTCATCTGCGTATCTTAATTTTACACCCGCCTATAATAAATCATTGGAAGGTCTTCAGTTCTTGTAGGATAATGTCCCTGTAGATCTTCAATAACTCTGGGGAGCAGGCGAATCCTCTCTCCCCAATTTTTTATACCTACTAAATTTATTTTATATCCATATTCAGGCGGAATTTTCTAAGTAAAAGTTCAGGAATATTCTAAAATATTTTCCATTTAGTTCGGGTTTTCCAAGCAGTACAAACGGAACCTCGTGTCGTATCTTGTCAAATGCTTCTGCCGGAATAAATAGAAGTGATAATGACTTGGATTGAGGAATCGGAGAGCCGAGTTCGAATTTCAGTCGAATCCATTACGTTCACATACATAACCTTGGAAATGATATGAATCCTCTTCTTCTCCCCACCCCCATCTATGAACAGACCGGATTCTATAGCCTTCTATAGCAACTGGTACACTGCAGAAAAAATGAAAACCTACTGCAGGAAAAAAAAATCTGCCTCGTCAGTCATGTATCAAATGATACATGCTCGGCTAAGCGTTTATCACGCATGGCGCATAACTGAATGACGAAGGGATTAAGTCATTTAAATAATGTGGTATCTGTAACGCAACTTATGCAAACAAAGATATCATTCTCTTTGATCATTTGATAAGATATCAGATTCCTTTCCAAGCAATGCTGATTTTTTTAGCTTTCGTACGAAACTAAATAAAACAATTTTTTCTCTGACTTTAGTTATTTTCTTATTCCGATGTTATGAACAATATATTTAAAGTATCAAAGAAAATTTATGTTCCATGAAAAAAATTCCAAACACCAATTTCTGAGTTTTTACAAAATGTCCGTACACATTATGTTTGTGTCTAATAAACCAGTGCATCATATATTCCGAAAATTCGATATCTATCTCTCTTTCTATCTAGCTCGCTAGCTATCATAGTGTGATCCTATCTATCGCAGACTGTCATATCTATCTATCTATCTATCTATCTATCTATCTATCTATCTATCTATATATATATATATATATGTGTGTGTGTGTGTGTGTGTGTGTGTGTGTGTGTGTGTGTGTGTGTGTATGATTTTTATTCATAGCTCTCGATGTATTTATATTCAGAAGAAGGCCGGAGCGTACAACGGCCGAAACGTTGTGATAAATATGGCGACAAAGATGAGGACAATAGTCCGAATAATGTAAATAATGTACATAATACTTCATCTCAGAAATATAGACAGACTCTGAAGGATCTGTACGGACCCGATATACCAAAAATATGGAGACAAATTGAGAAATCCTACCAGAAACTGGCACGAATATCGAACCACCTGACATTCTTACACCGATGCAAAAACCTACAACTCATCCCTTCCAGCTTGGCACCAAGACTTCCCATCAATTCAAGGAGAGAATCCAGTACAATCGTTGGATAAAACAGCGACTACAAGCTCATATCTCCAAGACGCTCGAGGATTTTTTCAACAAAATTACTAATGAAGAAGACCAGAGAAGGATCCAAAATGACCTAGATAAATCCTTCAGACATGAATTTGATGTAGTCAAGGCTCGCCAAGTGCTAAAATTAAATAGATCAGAAGGTGACGCACAAGGTCCTTCACCCACCAGTGAAAGCAGTAGTTAAGAACAGCCAATATCAGCGCCTCTGAGGAGTCAGTATTGAATAAGGGTCTCAACATCGCCACAACCATCAGGCGAGTGCCATACTTGGAATTCATTAGCAGAGCCGAGAAGGTGGCCTTGAACATCTCTCAGGCTCAGGCGGATGAACTGAGATGGAAAGTGAGACAGACCTTGGAGAGAGCCACGCCGCCCAGGTCTAACATAACAAAACTGGAGAGGCTGGCGATTGGATCCCTACAGAGGAACGAAAACATCATCATACTACCGGCTGACAAAGGTAATGCGACTGTAGTGATGGATAGATCAGATTATACAATAAAGCTGGAAGACCTCATTAGCAATGTTAGCTACAGCAAAGTGAAAAAGGATCCTACTATGAAAACGGAACGCAAACTGTCACAGATCGTAATCAAGAAAGAGGACCATTTCTTACCTAAGACGCATAGGCAGTTATGGCAGCGTTATACCAAGCTACCTCACATATACGGTCTCCCTAAGATTCACAAAGACGGTATTCCGCTCAGGCCGATTGTTAGTTGCCAAGGTTCGGTGTGCCACCCTCTGAGTCGCTTCCTTGTAGATATAATTGACCTGTTGATCGGAAAATCTCCTTCATATGTCCGAAACTCCTCCCACTTCGTGGAAGTAATCAAAGATGCTCCCATCCTATCCAATCAGACGTAGGGAGTTTGTTCACCAAGATACTCACGGAGGAGGCACTCTCAGTAGTCAGAGACAGACAACACACTTCGGAATGGGATCACACATATATCGACCGGATGAGTGCTTAGCAATGGGATCGCCATTATCACCAGCAATGGCGAATATATACATGGAATACTTTGAGAAAATGACATTAGAATCTATATCTCTAAAGCCAACTATATGGTTAAGGTACGTAGATGACACCTTCATACTCTGGCCACACCAGGAAGATGTTCAGGTTCTACTGGACCATGGGAACTCAATAAGATCTTCGATGCAGTTCGCAATGGAGAAAGAGAGTAACAACATTCTTCCATTCCTGGATGTTCTAATATCTCGAAAAGAGCATGGGTTTAAGACATCCGTATACCGTAAACCGACATTCACCGGACAGTACCTCAATTTCAACTCCCACCATCCATACAGCGTAAAGAAACGGATCGTCCGTTGCTTACAACACCGAGCAAAAGTCATAAGTGGTGATCCAGAGACGTTAGATAAAGAATTGTTCAGTATAAGTAGTACCCTACAACTTAACAACTACCCTGGGTACATGGCAGCAGCCCAAAAAAACTGGGATAGGCGGGTACAAGAGGAGGAGGACAGCAACACTCAGAAAACAGTCTGTCTGCCTTATGTGAAAGGGTTATCAGAGAAAATACAAAGGATCTGCGGTCCATATAACATCAGGACAACCTTCAAAAGCTTGACGACACTTCAGAGATATCTCTCCCGAGTAAGACCCCCCATAGAGGAGAACATGACTAAAGACTGTGTGTACGCTATTCCATGCTCAAGGTAAGGCTTCAAGAACACCAGAAAGCTGTAACACGAGGGGAAGTAGAAAAATCAGGCGTGGCAGATCATATATAGAGAGAGAAGGGAGATAACCGCCCTCTGTGGGATCAGGTTGAGGTCATCGTCAAGAAACACAATCAGTACATATGCTAGACTACAAAAATCTCCTGAGCCGACCAAGCATAGAAATAAATACAATATGGGAACCAGTAATAAGGAGTGCCAGAGAAAAGCAATGATAACAACATAGTTGCAATATGAGCTCTGGTAAAAACATGCAATGATAACAGAAAAAATTGAAATATGAGCACTGGTAAAAATTTTTGCTGAAGACATTAGGTTTATCATACCAGAAATTCATACCCAGATGTCCTCAAGGACACATGGCACAGTGAATAAAGGCGTTGGTTAGATCCTGTGACAGGACCTAAAGAGTGTGAATTCAATACACGGTTAAGGCAGTGGAGAACTTTCAGAGGGAAATTAACAGGAGATAAGGGATAACTGACATCCATCAAACGTGGAACTAGAACAGTCTACCCCGGTGAGCGAAATAAAGGGTTCAGTTCGACATTCCAACCACCTGAAGAAGGCCGTATCGTACAGCGGCCGAAACGTTGTGATAAATATGGCGACAAAGATGAGGACAATTGTCCAAATAATGTAATATATATATAATCTTATTTTTTGCATCCATCAATCCTATTCTTTATATCTATTTATCTATCTTATTTTTTATTTATGTTCTATATCACATTCTTTGTATTTATCTAGTAATTTGTCGGTCTTATTCTTTGTATCTATCTATATATGTTATTCTTTCTATCTATATATCTATTTTATCATTTCTATCTATCTATCTATCTATCTATCTATCTATCTATCTATCTGTCTCACTCTTTGTATCCTTCTACCTATCTATCTCTCTAGCAATCTAATTATTTTTATCTATTTCAGCCTAACTACCTACCTATCAAATTGGTTTGAATGTCTGCATGTATGTATCTGTCTCACCCTTTGTCTGAATCTCTCTATCCTATTCTTTTTGTCTATCTATCTATCTATCTATCTATCTATCTATCTATCTATCTATCTATCTATCTGTATACATTTCATTCTTTGTATCTATCCATTTATATTGCTTATTTTCAATGTGTTCTTTTGTTCTGTTCAACCGTCTGCCATGATGAATACGTAAGATCCGTTTAATCTGAGAATTTTGTAATTGAGAAAAATTCCAAGTAACGTGTAGGTCAGGAGAAACAGGAAGATAAATCGTAAGTGGGAAAGGAATTTCCTTTTAATAAAAAGAGACAAAAAAAAAGCACACACATGATTCACAGACTCAGGTCTAATGTAGTAAGGTAATTCAAAATAAGGCTGTTTGAATGCCACCAGTCTGGAATGTCGTTTTCTTAAAAGACTTTCTCGCATTTCACTTTCTGGTATCCGTCAATGTCAAATGCCAGTTACTATGGTGATGAAGGCTTTTATATAAACAAGACATCTAGTTACTTTTCCTTTGGGCTTTCGTTCTTGTTCCCGCTCTCTACTCCTCCTCGTCCTCCTGTTACTTCTTCTACATTTCTGAGTACAGACCCCCAGATTTAAAATATTTGTACAAACACCGTCTTGTGTGCTTCCCCAAACCCCTATCTTTGTCTTTTTATTTTCTCATAAACTTTCCATTCACTAAGTAATTCAGAGCGTTGAACTTTTTTAACCAGCTCTATCGTGATTTAGACAACGTCAACTTTTCTTTTGTTATTTATTGTTATATTTTGTCTATATTTGAGCTTTTACTCATATATTATCTTTTTTTTTTTATTCCTATTTTCTTTACGAATGTTTTATCTGCAAATATGGCAAAATGAGATTCATTAATCGTAAGTTAGAACCGATTCTGATCAACCGGTTGCGACAACAGAATTGGTGATATAATCATGACTGATTCTTTTTTTTTTCTTTCGATCGATGTCAGTTTTGTTTTTTGTTATTATTTGACTTCTTTGTTCATACATTATATTACTCTTTCTATGTTTCAATTTTTTATTCATCTTTTTCTTCGTTGCAATTTATTTCTTCTGTTCACTGATGATTTCTTTTCATAGCCTTTTGTAAGGCTTTTCTTATGTTTCAAAATTTCTACAGGTAAACACAAACACAGATATATATATATATACGTCACGGGGTGTTAAATTCTATGGCTGCTGGAGGGTCCGTCTACAAAAAACTGGAGTCAGGATGCTAAGTAATAAACTTTCTGTTTATCTTTTATTATATTATCCAATCTCCGAATACGTGTTCGCTATTTGGCTCAAAGATTTGGATATGCTGTCCGAAATACCTACATTGTTATTGTTTTATTATTATTATTATTATTTTTACAGTAGTTTCAATGTAATTCACAGTCGACAAATTGGTTCTCGAAAATGACTGAGACGGTCGAATTTATTTGGACAAAACAATAATAAAACTTCAGATCATTTATACATATCTTTGAGCACAATACTAAACGCCTAATTTGAAAAAAAAGCAGTAAAACATTAAACAAACAGACATTATCAGTTCTTTTAATGAAACTTGCTTAGATGAATACTTGCTGTTCAAATATAAATCATATATATATATATATATATATATATATATATATATATATATATATATATATATATATATATATATATATATATATATATATATATATATATATATATATATTAAGAACCTTTCTTAATATATGACGTCATTTGTTTACATTTGATACGCCAGAGCAGTTATGAATGTACGAGATTCATGGAAGATTGAAGTTTATAAGCAGTAAATTCGATCTTGTCTGCCGAAAGGTTCTTTTGTATTTGAGAGGTAAGGCACGTCAGCGTAAATGACGGTTCCGTATAGGATGCAGGTTCGAATCCTGTCAAAGAACGAATATTTTCTATGAAAATTTCTCGGACATTCAGGCCGGTAAATGTTATTTAATACTGTTTATCATAAACAGAGCATTTGCTTAAATACTTGTATCTATAAATAACAACGTTAAACTTAAAAAAATGTCTTTAATAAATAAATTGTCGGACCTTGTCCATTTCTTAATATATATATGCTAAAACTTTCTCCACCTTCTTAACTTCTAGTGCCGTAACATGACAATAGTAGCGTGATGTACTTTGAGAAACACATGTTAACCAGCCTTCTACAGAGACATAGCGGTCGGAACCATGTTATTGTACAGCAATATACGGTATTCCCCTCTCTCTCTCTCTATATATATATATATATACAGGGTGATAAATAAAATGTCGAAATTACGTAAAATGAAAATAAACACCATAATCTCTTTTTAACAGACATACCAAATAGAAACATCTTGAAATAATAAACTGTAAATTTATTCAATAAAATCGCCATTGGTTACAACCACGGCTTCCAGACGACTTCGGGATCTCCTGCAACTCTTCTGGGCTGTCTTCATGTTTAAATTGATGAATGGTGGCATAATTTTTGCCTTCAGTTTACCTTTGGTGTTACAAGGGGTTTTGTTGTGGTCTCGCCCAACTGCACAGCACAAATAACAGTAAAGGGGTCTGCAGTTCTCGGAGTTAGTTGGCCAGATGTAAAGCTGGATGGGGTCGCAGAAATGACTGGGTTCTCATGCATGTGTGTCATGGTGCAGAATGCAGTTGCCAAATTTTCTAGCCTTCTAGCAGCCTCCTTCGTGACCTAGGACAGCACTACCCCCTGAAGGCACTTGATGTAAGATTCCGTGTTGACTATGAGGCCCTCAACAATAGATTTGGGAGTTTATTTTTTATCAGAACTATGAGAGTGAGTTTTTGTAACTGCCGTACATTCGTAATCAATATTAAACTCATCCAGCTCTTTCCGAATCCTTTGCACTGTTCTCAGATTGACACCAAAACACTCGGAAATGTTCGTATTGGAGCTACCGCCGCGAATTCCAACCAGTACAGTATACCGTTTCCAAATTTCTCGCGGAGTGAATTGCATTATTGTGCTCTTTTTCTCACAGACGGTGCCCAACTGACCCCATTATACTGTGTAAGTCAACTATAGAAAAAACAACTTGAATGAACGAAATTAAAAAATATATATATATATTGCCCATCGCATCCTTTATATTTACTGTAAGGTACACCCTCTAAAAGTCCCGGGTTCCATACGAGACAAAGTGTTACGGTAAGAGGCAATTTGTGCGGATAAAGGTTAACCTTAAACTTGAATAGGTAAACATTATAGTGATCGGTGAAACATCCTTTTAGGTGTCGGTTCCAATGAACAGAAAATCACGGTTAGGTCTAAGGGGCATTTGAACTCATAAATAATGTTCGTTCGTTGTAATTTTAATTTTGCTGGTGATAAGGCTAGCTATTTTAATTTTTTTTTTTTTTTGTAGGAGATAATTAATTTTCTTTTTTGTTCGTGTCATTTGGGTAGTGCATTTCTTTATGATATTTCTAACTGAAGATTCATCTTCTTTGTATTTAATATGCATTTGACTTTTGGAGAAATTATTTGCTTTTTTCGCTATGATTACTATTTACTTTGGAAAGGAACAGTTTAATTTGGTAGTCGATAAGGAAGCCATTGGTAACTACTGTCTGTTTCGTATTGTTGAGTTGTTTAAGGAATAGTAGACGAGAGGATGAATTCTGGTGTGCTCTTTTTAGGAAGATATTTGTCACTGCTACTTTTCATCTGAGTGGACATTCTATTATTAAAGTCAATTTTGCAGAGTTTCTGCTAGTTTCTTCATTATACAATAAGGTAGTAAAAGTGTGGTTACTGTATTCTACGAGAACATCTAAGAACGTGTGTTTATTTTTGACTAACTTCATAGGTAAAGTTAAGGCCAATGTTTTTTCAAAGCGGTCTTTAGTGTATCTATTTCTTTTATATTTTTGCTATAATAAAAGAAAATATCGTCTAAGTAACGGACATATATTTTATATTTACAGACCTTTCATGAACCCACAAAACCAGTTTAAATATCACTGAACAATCTAAACCCCCACACAAACTTACCAGAATCCATCCGAAACATACTAGTAGAAAATAAAAACGTAATAACCACATCTGAATGCAAAAAGGATTAAAATAATGAAAAAGGAAAAGCCAATACTCAATAATATTAACTACGAACACGGCCACAATGTGATAACTGTGTTCGGTAATTAAAACATACCTACAACTCTAGAAACATATACACAGCCCATAAACACAGTTAATAAGTAAAAATAAAATCTTCCTTGATAATGGCTAAAAGTATAGTCGAAAACGGTCGGTATTACATAATATTTGGATAGTTTCTACACACTCTGTGTCCAGAAAAGAAAAACACTTGGTCGAACACAAGAAAAATTAAATGAAAAGCTTAATCGCAGTACCTTGTCTGTCGTCTTTAATGAAACCTATACATTTATATATATATATATATATATATATATATATATATATATATATATATATATATATATATATATATATATGTGTGTGTGTGTGTGTGTGTGTGTGTGTGCGTGACTGTGCCCGTGTGCCTGTGTTTGTGTGTGTGTAAATAAATGTGTTGATGAATTAGGTTCCATCTTGAGATATTTAATTTCTAACAAATAAAATGAGACCTTTCAACAAAGATTTCTGCTCATATGAAAGAGAAGACAAACCTACATTTGCAAAGTGAGTAAATACTAAGATTATTGCAGTTCAATGTCAAAATACTTGTTTGGATCCCAAATAAATTAAGTGAAGGACACAAGATCAGAAGCAGAATTTTCGATCGAAATAAGTAAGTAAATTCGAAATATTTGATGGATACATTACTTTGACAAATGTGATTCCATTAGCAAGTAAACTGATAAAAACGTGTTGTGGTATGTACAAGTTATAAAAATTGTAATCTTTATGTCTCTTGGTAAGGCACTGCTATGAGATACTATGAACCACTAGATAAACCGAGAGAAAATTCCCGTCGAAAAAGAGCATCATTTTTTGCATGGAAGTTTCATTTCATGAAAGATCAACCTGAAAAAAATTGACTCACGCTGTATAACTCGGATAATTTATTCCATCCATCATTGAATTGAGTAATAAATCATCAAATTAAACCATTAAACAATATTTACACAAAGTCTCATCTAGACTCTATTGATAAAATCGACCAGTTATTTCATAACACGT